AAATTAAAGCTCTCTTTTCCAAACATTTGGTATCTCTTCTGGTCTTTAGCAGTGCTCAGAGTTCACCGAGAAGGGATTAGCAGGCTGATCACAGGCTTTCTGAGAACCCTGGGTGGTGGTCCAATCATAAGAAGACTTTACTCACTAGAAGAGCAAAGTGTCCTCTTAGGAAATGCCTCATTCTTGTAGACACACAGAGTTGTCCCATGTGATTTTTGTTATTCCTTATCAAGACTCTATGCACTCCATACTATTTTAGTGCTTTTGTTTGCAATGTACCTTAGCAATCCTCTTCATTGGCTTTAATATTTATCTCACATTGAGTTCTAGAATTAGTAATAAAATTCCATCAAATCTGAGCCACTTTCCTTAATTTATTGTTGGTAACCTATTTTTACCTCTATGATAATATTATCTTCTAAACCCTGAGATTTTCGGAAAGCACTGTGTAGGGGTTTCATTTATGACACATCCCAATCCCTTCTCACTTTCCTCCTCAAATAAAGTATTACTAATCAAGATCTGGTTTTAAGATTAGACATGTCTTTTCAACAATTTTATGCAGTGTAGGGTGCATTTCTAGCCTTCATTTCCACAGTTATTGTAGAATCCTAAGATGATAATTCCAGTACTGAAAGGCCACTTGGACAACAGCATTACCAGGCATAATTCATGTAAATCCTCATTATTAGCCAATTTGAATAGATCTAAAAATAGTGTGAGTTGATTGGGAACACTGGAAAGGATGACTGTAGGTAAGTAATGTTCATCTCACTAGGAAGGAATTTTAAACGTTTTCCAGGTGGCACAACTTTTCCTTATCCTCCACTAATTGCAACTTCAAAATTTTCAAGGCCAGAAAGGTAATTTTTCCTGCCAGAACTCTTCCCATATTGGTAAGTTAGAAATAGTGATAATAACTAATGAAATATGAAAATCTTTACTTAAAACAGAACCTCGACTTGGAAAACCAGAGGATGAACATAATGCACCACTGTGAAAATCATTGTTCTTATATCCAGAAATACTTCCTCTGATGGAAAATAACCATGATGTGTGTTTCCCTTATTGAAAGTGACTTCCATATAAAAGTGAATACATTTGCTTCTATATAAAAGGGAATACATGAAGGTTTTGAGCCTTCACTCTGAAGTAAAGTGTATCTGTGATCTGACAAGTGAGCAAGCTTTAGTTTTAAGAAAGTTAGAAATCAAAGCTAAAATGAAGAAAAATTACACTTAGGGATTTCAGTGTCTATACTTAGATAATCATGTTAAACAATTAAATGTTCTAAAATATACTGTTTCCTCCACTTTCTGCCTTACCATAATTCTCTGCAATACAGAGAATGTTCTACTTGATGAATAAAACTCACAGACAAGCAAGCTTTAAATTATAAGCCCATCTTGGTCGTGACTTATATGCTCCCAAATTTTAGACTGTAATAAGGATAATTCAAAGAGCAAAACAGACAATTCTTAAAGTGCAGTTTTACATACAGGTGGTGAGGACGCATGCCTCCACAGAAAGAGTTTTGTTTAATAGAACCAAAAGTAGTGGTCAATATAGATGACTAGTACAGAAATCTATAAATGCCCACGTACTAGTTCATTCTCACACTGCTATGAAGAAATACCCAAGATTGGGTAATTCATAAATGAAAGTGGTTTAATTGACTCACAGTTCTGCATTGCTGGGGAGGCCTCCAGAAACTTACAATCATGATGGAAGGCAAAGAAGAAATAGGCACCTCTTCACAGGGTGGCAGGATGGAGTGAGTGCAAGCAAGAGAAATTCCAGATGCCTTCAAAACCATCAGATCCCATGAGACTCACTCACTATCATGAGAAGAGCATGGGGGAAACCGCCCCCATGATCTGATTACTTCCACCTCATCCTGCCCTTGACATGTGAGGATTATGGGAATTAAAATTCAAGATGAGATTTTGGGTGGAGACACAGCAAAACTATACCAGCTCAAGTTTTTAAAAAAGGTATTTATGTTCATTGACTAAATTGTCTGCAGAGAATACAGGAACACGACCACTCCGCTGGCTTCTTTAGATGCCTGAATATCTGCTCAACCACCCACTGGTTTAGAAGGTAAAAGTCAAAATGTGTTTCTAGAATTTGTCCAAGTCAATTTTTTCTTTCACTGCTTTTCCCTATTTCATCGGTTTTCTTCCTCTTCTTTTTGCCTTTTTTGTTTCAGGTATATCTACCACAGAGTAAAAGATACCACACACCTGAATCTCAGGCCAATCCCCACCAAAAAGGAGAAGTAGATTATACATAGTGAAAAAAATAAGAAATTTAGAGGTTATATATGTGAGACAGCAGGTTACTGACTATGCCACTTGTTCTTATATCTACTGTCATACTATTTAGATCGTATAAATATACAAAAGATAATGAAACACCTTTTAAGAAAATTGACCATTCTTAAAAATGTATAAGCAAGGCAATTTAAAAGAGACTGCAAATAATCCCAAAAGATACATATCTTCCCCAATAATCAGAATCATCTCATGGGATATTAGCAATGGAATATAATTTCCTCACTCCTGGTTTCCATGAAGAGGCATATCCTCACATTCCTTGCACCTCTCTGTTCTTTATTTTCCTTTCCCCAGGGGAGTGGAAGTGGGTTACCTGCACAGCAAACTCGTGAAGGGTTACCTCCTTTGTTTAGCTGAGCTCCAACTTCCTTCGTTACCATTTCCATCTTCTCCCTGCTCTGCCCACAGGGAGGGAGGTAAAGGTTGGTAGAAGACCAGTGCTGCTGTGACTGGTGAGTCAATCTTCTTATTCTGGGGATTGCATAACATAAAAGTAGTGCATTTGGATCCCACGTTAATCCATCACCTTCTAAACTGGCCTATATCAATTGTATAGATGTTAGTTTTGACTTATCTTTATATTTACCTATTTGTTTATTGGAAAAGATGGATGCAGTTTATTGTCTTGTAGATCCTAACATATTAGTCATAATTTACATGCATGCTCCATTAACAATCAATACATAGACAGTTAAATATAATTATCACCGAGAGCTTGGATTTACAAAATTGAGCTTACTCAATCAGGATCTTAAAAACAGTTAAATAGAAATAAAAATCTCTTTAAATTGAAATATGGGTGTTGATCACCCTTTAAGACTTTAATACTTCATGTTCCCTTATATTTCCTCATCGGAGGGTTCCCAGAGCACTTAAGTTTGAATTAAATATTTTCTTTCCCAGTTCCTCTATTACATATTATACCGCTAGTGTAGTGCTTGCCAAAATCCACTTTGTCATACAAGCATTTGTGTATTGTTTTCACTGGAAACCAGGGGCCATGGGTTATTGTAATTATATGCTTCCAGTTTCCAGATACATACCCTGCATACAGTTGTACCCAATAAACATTGATAGAAATCAATTAAATCACAGTTTCCTTGGAAGCTAACAAAGAACAAACAGCTGGATAATAAAATCACATTTATTCCACTTTATGAAATCGTTTTAGTTAGATGACTTTGCATTTTTTTAACTCTGTGATGACTTATATCTCTATGACGTTTTATGGAAATTTAATTTCTAGAAATTAAAATTCACCTGATGAATATTATTTAATGGAGCCAGCAGTGAATCGTATCTTCTATAGCTCAATAATAAAGACAACTCAATTTTTGAAAAAAAGAAAGGACTTGAACCAATGCCTCAGAAAAAAAATATGCAATTACAAAAAAAAAAAAAAAAACATGAAAAATTGTTTGGCATTATTGGTCATCAGGGGAATTAAAATAATATCATGACTTTAATTTTCATACTATCTGATATGATTTGACTGTGTCCCCATCCAAATCTCAGTTTGAGTTGTAGCTCCCAGAATTCCCACGTGTTGTGGGAGGGAGCCAGAGGGAAGTAATTCAATCATGGGGGCCGACATTTCCCATGCTATTCTTGTGATAGTGAATAAATCTTATGAGATCTGGCAGGTTTATCACGGGTTTCCGCTTTTGCTTCTCACTCATGGTGGGTTTATCATGGGTTTCTGCTTTTGCTTCTCACTCATTTTTTCTCTTGCTGTTATCATGTAAGAAGTGCCTTTCACCTCCCACCATGATTATGAGGTCTCCCCAGCCATGTGGAACTGTAAATCCAATTAAACCTCTTTTTCTTCCCAGTCTCAGATATATCTTTATAAGCAGTGTGAAAACGAATTAATACACTATCTATAGCATGAGATAACTATTTCATGACCACAAGAATGGGTAAAGTAAAACATTAGTAATATCAAATGTTGGTGAGAACATGGAATAATCATTACTTTTATTCGTTTTTGGTGGGACCATAAAATGGTGTAATTACTTTGGAGAATAGTTGTACAGATGCCTTACTGATAGAAATACATCTACTGCATGATCCAAACATGGATGGTTTGCCTGACAGCACCCCCAGAGGACTCAGACAACAGTCAGTAACAACTACTGGACTAGTGAATAAGTACCCCATCCAGAGGATTCCAGTACTCACTCATTAAAAGCCACCAATTTTTGAGTCTTCCCAGAAGAGACCCTAGACATCATTGAGCAAGAGAAAGTCATTTCTGTATCCTTATTGTGCTTTGTTTGAATCTCTGTTCCACAAATTTGTGAAAATCATAAAGCAGTTGGTTTAAGCCAGTACAACAACTAGACCAGTAAACTTGGGGTCATTGTTATGTAGTAATAATAAGTGGAACAGAAATTTGGGAGCTGGAAGTAGGAAGCTAACATGACAAAAGCATGGCATTGGCTTTGAGAATGGGTTAGATGAGAGCCAGAAGAGCCTTGGGAAGACTGTCAGTGAAGGCCGGATGATATCAAGGGAGACAATTATGCAAGCTGGAAGGATAGGGAGATAAGTGTTATTGGAAGATGGGGTAAAGAAGATTTTTTTTTGTAAAGTGTTGCAAAGTTTAGCAAAATTGTTCCATGTGACAACATAAAAATAGAAAATATACACCTGACAAACCTGATGATCTAGACAAGGAGATCTCCAATAAAAGTGTTAAAGGTGCCTCCTGACCTCTTTGAGCCACCTGTAATAGAATGAGAGAGGAAAGAGTTTTTGAGTAAAATTTGGGGGAATAGTGTACGGGATAGTTTCAGCAGCAAACTATTCTCAAAGAAAGAGCCTTAACCCAAAAGTCTCATCCAAAGTGGATAGCCTATACTTGCAGATGATTCCAGTTTCTTAGTCTTTCCTTCTGAGGCCTCAGACATATTGGAACAGAAAACAAAAAACAAAAAACAAAACAAAACAAAACAAAACAAAAAACCTATCCCTGTTGCACCCTGTCTAGAGTCCTGACCCAGAGAATTGGTGAACATGATAAAATGATTGCTTGATACCCCTGAGTTTTGGGGTGGTTTATTATGCAGCAATGGTAGCAAGAACAGTAAGAAAAACGAAAATGGCCCCTTTTATCTAAGTTGTCAAATTTTCTGGAATCTGAAAGGAATATAGCAGAAGTGAAGCTGAGTGACTTTGAGTTTACTTCAGAAAGTGATACAGCTTCTTTCTTGTGGGTAGATCAGTTATCTTTGGAGACCAGAGCTTCCATGTATGAAATGCAATTACTCTGAAGCTGCCATGCTGTGAGGAAGCCCAGGGCACATGGAGATGTCACATGTGGGTTCCCAGTTAACAGCCCACTTCTCAGGGGCCAGCGAGCAGCCAGGCTCACCTTCCAAACACAGGAGTGACAATACTTGCAGAAGATTCCCAGCTCCAGCTTTAAATTTGCCCTCAGGTTTTTAGTCTTTCCTGCTGAGGCCCCAGGCATCTTGGGACAGAAAAAAACTATCACTGTTGTGCCCTTTCTGGAGTCCTGACCCAGAGAACTGTTGAACGTGATAAAATACGGGTGTTTTGAGGTGGTTTGTTATGCAGCAATGGTAGCAAGAACAGTATGGAAGACAAAAAATGGTCCCTTTTATCTAAGTTGTCAAATGTGCTGACCTAAATTTGCTCACAGTCTTTACTTATTAGCCTTTTAATATCTGTAGGATCTGTGGTACAGATCCTATTATATTATGTTACAGGAAAGCTTTTTCTTTCCTGATATTGGCGATTTTTGTTTCCTCTCTTTTTTACTTAAGTCTACCTAGAAGCTTGTGAATTTTGCTTATCTTTTCAAGGAGTCAGCTTTCAGCTTTTTAATTTTTTTCCATTGTCTGTATGTTCTCTACTGTCTTGATTTCTACCCGTTATTATTTCCTCCTACCTACTTACTTTAAGTTTATTTTTGCTTTTTTTTTTTCCTAGCTTTGTGAAGTGGAACCTTAAGTCATTGAATTTAGATCTGTCTTCTTTTCCAATATAAATATGTAAAATTCTGTTTCCATCCCAGAACTGCTTTGTGTGTATCCCACAAATTTTGACATAGATTTGAATTATCTATTTGTAGTCAATTTCTGCTTCAATGTGTTTATTTTAAGACTAGCTGAGTGCAGTAGTGGGAAGCAGGGAAAAAGTAGAACAAGGAGTTTAATATATAACTGACTATGAACAATCAATTGAGATAACTCACTACCTTTGAGCCTAACTGCAATGCATTTTTATTTTTACTTTATCAGACACTATATTTCAGAGAAGAGGAGAGCCACGTTAGCAAAACATGGTCTTTTCAGACAATACTGCCTAAAAATCTTGCTGTATAATTTTCACTTAAATGAATGGTCACTTCACCTCCATGTTAAATAAAGTGGGGAAATTTAAAAATTTCAGATTTTAGTAAAAGTCATTGAAAATAATGATGAAAGCATTAGGATATTTTATCTAATTACATCATCATGTCTATATTTAAAAGCAAATAAAAAACAGACATACAAGCATTAGTGAAGACAAATGACAGGAAAGAACAGCTGGTGCTACAGTGCACTTATAACATACGGCACGTAATTCTCTCATGAATTTTTCATTGATGCTTGTTGATATTTTGAGAATATTTTTTAAAATAAAAGATGTTTGAGAAAATTTGTAAATCAAGAGAAACAAATTGATTTATTAGGATAGGATTTTGTGGATTAAGTGGACTATGAGGTTTTACAACCTTCAAGGAGTTTAATACACATTTTACAGGGCTAAGACCCTACAATAGAGAGGAAACTGTCAGTGTTGCATGTGTAATTCTGAAGGAACAACATTAAGGATTTTTAACATTTTCCTAAGGATAATTGGAAGCCAATAAGGATTTTAGGCAGAGTGGAGACATCATAATATATTGGGTAGAGAACGACATAGAAGAGGTGTAGACAGAGTGAACAAAACAGAAATCAAACATAGATCAATTATAATGGTCCACGTGAGCAATAACGTTGGCTTGGACATATATGGTAAAAAGGGGTCTGGGTCAAAGTAGATAAAAATAATTTGATAAACAATAGCATTTGGTGATTGATTAGGGGTATATTGTATTAGAGAGGGAAGTGTTAAGGAAAGTGTAGAGAAAAATTTTCAGACACATGAAATTGGATAAGAGGTGGTGCCATTTACCAAAATAAGAGATCACAACAAAAACAACAAGTTTGAATGCTAGGAGTGAAGATCATGAACTCATCTTTGGGGAAATGAAGTATAAGAGGCCTGTGAGGCATGCGGATGCAGGGATGCAATAGAAAAGTCTGGTATAATCTGAACTATCATCTTTTATTTCTTCTTGATCTTTAATCTTCTACTCATCATGCTAGTTTATATCCCACATTGGTTCATGTTGGCATTGTTCTTTGCTTTGTCAAAAGCCTGAAAATATTCAGTGTATATTTTAATGAAAAGCAAAATAGTCAGCCAGGTAATAGTGACATAGTAACTATATGCCAGAATTCTGAGTCAGCAATGATCCCATTAACTTTATTAGTATCTGTAGATGAACTATAACAGAACAGCTGAAAAATTATGCCCATTAGTCTTTTAGCCAAGCCTAACAAGGGGAAGAATATTCAGGAAAAAAGGCTGGGATGGGATACTGGCTTTAGGATTACGACAGCTTGAGGGTGGCAGATTGAGATGTTCCTCTCCTTACCAAGGATAATACTTGAATATATTCCCTCGTGTCAAACATTTCTATTCATTGTAACCAACAGCTTCTCTTCTCCTCCCTGTGTTCCTTCTTTGTCCCAAATCCTCCTGATGACTTATTTTTTCCTGCAGAGGAAAGGCCAATTTCTTACTCTGACCTAAGGACCCCAGAGTCTATCCCTTTGCTGCCAGTCCACTGTCGTGTTCCACTGCTTCTACTTTAATTCAGTTCCATAGTCTTCCTCGACGGTCCTCAAATCAGTCCAAACCTTGATGGTACTCAACTTTTGCCTGTTTCAGGGCTTTGCACTTGCTATTTCGTCTGCCCAGAACACTCATCCCCTACTGCATGGCTCAGTTGTACCCCTACATGTGCTTCACTTCACATCTCTACTCAAATGTCTCTTATAAGGGAGGATTTCCCTGATTACCTATATGAATGAGTGCCTCTCCTCATGACTCTGTCCTCTGTCTGCTTATTTATCCCTATATCACTTAGTGCCAGATCATGTAAATTTACTCATTTATTTTCCCCTATCCCAGTCCACCCCAATCTAGAAAGTAACCTCCATTAAGGAAAGGACTTACTTTGTTTATTATTGTATTTCCAGCACCCATAAAATTATATAACACATAGTAGGTGCTCGATATATATTTGTTGAATGAGTGAGTGGATGAGTGGGTTACTGGAAACTGCAGGGCACAGGCGGCAGGTAACCCGAGGACCACTGCCTGCTCATTCTGATTATTAGAATGTTCCGTGTGTATTTGTTTTAATCACTGTCATATAGAAGCCTAATCTTTCAATCATTCATTTTTTAATTTAGCTTTAGGTTTTTGGGTCCTGATCTTCATTGATCTTTTATTTATGTTAGTGTAAATAAAGTGTGTCTCTGTTCTGAAACAACACCTTTTATTCCTCCAATAGCCCACTGATTCTCCCTATTTGTACCCGCAAAATACTCATGTTCCATTACTGTGTGTACTGTAGCCCATAAATCAAAGTCCAGCAATTCATTTAAAGAAAACTGTCAAAAAATCTTTCAGTCGGTTTGTGTAATTTTACTAAAATACCAGCAGATGTTGCTATTGCAACATCTTGATTCTTAGTCTTTACCTGCCCTGAGAGGCACAATAACACTGTTACAGAGAGATATTAAGATTTTCTAGAAATGATCCTACTTTCTGGGTTTTAGCTACTTCAGTGCTAAAGAAAGGGACCATCCTTAGTTCTGTTTCTTGTTCACAGTGACAATTGTTTAAGGTGTAGGTCTAGCAAAATATATATGCCCCAGGTCAAGTATCTCATTTGCTCAGATATTGTGGAATTGACCACTCAAGGCCCATCATTCTTGAGCTTAAGGAAATACCAATTCAGCTTTGGACTAATTCACTAGGTAGGGTCATCACCTTTAAATTATTTCTGCTTATGTGGCCACTAGGGCTGCTTCTACTTTAAAAACTATTTTCCTCTGTTGAAACTTTTCTGGGCAAAACTATGCAATAATAATAACTAAAAGTAGTACAGCGTTTTATACTGTGCACAATTTCTTCAAGCATATTTTTTCATACACATCTTCATAACAACCCTGAGGGTTAATAACTATAAATAACTTCAAAATAGAAAATCCATAAATTAGTCAGAAAGTTCTGTCACTGTAGGCAACAACATATAGAATTACACATAAAGATACTTGTAAATTTTGAAATCAAACGTAGAGATCACGTGGAGCCCAGGAAAATGCACGGTCTCTGAAAACAGACAAACTGAAATTTTTATCCTGACTTCATGGCTTTGTAACTCTTTGACTTTTGGCAATATACTTAGCTTCTCTGACTCTCAACTTCCTTAGTTTTAAAATGTCAAGAAGAAAATCCACTTTTCAGAGTTGTTGCAAATGTTAATAACTCAAGGAGCTGTTACTATAGTAGTTTGTGTCTTTTTTCACATATGTATGTCATACAGGGTACTGTGTATTAACCCAAGAGCCCCAAACTCGTATTTCAACAACCTGTTTG